GAATTTCGCCGCGCAATTTGCCGCGCGCATCCAGAATCGCACGAATCGGCACACACCCGGATTGATTGGAGGTATTATGAAGCAAAACCGGGAATGAAAGTCTTACACAGTCATAAGATCGAGTCAATACCCTCTCATGATTATTAGGCTAGGAAAAGGAAACTCTCAGTCGAAGTGAGCGAAAATCTGAACAGATTGAAAGATGTGCAGGTGATTTCGAGCCTTACTATACTCATGTTGTTACAGAGGGGATTAACAAAAGACCGTCCCCACTCAAAGGGTACGACCTCAACAAGGCGATAAATTCGGCCATCATAAGAACTCTAGGACTGTGCTGATTATCACCTACCACTTCTGAAAACAAACTTCATGGACATTTCCGACCTCATGTCGGATAGCATTTGGGAAAAGTTCTATAACATTCCTATCCGGGTCAATCTAGAAGATATTTTTCGTCACCATCCACAGAGTAGAAACAGGCTCTATTTCAGTGGAGGAATAAAAAACTAACCGATTCTGTAGAGTTCTTCAACGAATTTCAGTGCATGTTTGAGATTTCCTTGTTTATAGAGTGAAAATGAGAGGTACTCGAGAATCTAAACCAAACGACTAAATTATAGTGCAACACAGTTATCGCTATGGAGGAAGTACCTCGCTGATACTCGCTGTTGGTACTTCTTCTTCTTCAAGTCGCCTCTTTGCTTCTTCCATCCACATGATTGTATGGTAATAATCGCCATCATGGTATGCTGCCTTGCCTACTTCGAAACAGTCTCCGGCTGAAACAGAGAGTGTCAAAATCGATGCCTCGGGAGTTTAGCTTCCTGTGAGCAATTCCTGAAACCGGCCGAGATTGAATCAATTTATCTCACTTATCCTTCAAAGCAATCAAGGATGCTATCCTGGTATGAAGTCGGAAGGAAACGACACCCAGTCTTCCATATAATGATAATTTGCTTACAAATGAGCATGTATTCAATACGTTCAAAAGGAGATATGTATGTAGTGTTAGTTAAAACCTAACAGATGGCGAACTGGTACCCATAGCAGAATGGGGTTGGTTTGTTTCATTGTTGTGAGGCGATGTAGTGGCAAGTGGCGCACTATTTCACACGCATGGCCAGGATTTCGAAGCCCGGATCGATAATAGCCTAGGCCAACCAAGCCTTCCATCCCTATGCGAGGTTGTTTGGTACTAGACTCGTCTCTGAGGATAAAAGCACTGACTTTCACATCGGCTGGCTACCGCAAGCCATTGTATAGGCCACAAACGCATTCAATCGCCACTACGATTCTGAATGGAAGTCGAACGCGTGGGCGCATCCGTCAGACGGGATTGATTAACGCCAAAAACTTTATCCTTTTATGTTTCATTGTTGGAAGCCTTGTAGGAGGGGCGTGAAAAAATGGGTCACATGGCTTACCAGATTTTTTTTGTGAAGGTCAACCCCTAAGCGATTGACCGATGTCAATCGGCTTTTCGTTACCCGCAGAGTTGGGTTTATGTTGTATTCTGGTACAAAGCACGTAAACAAAAAGCAAGGGCACGCATACTAACCGGTAAAAGTATAATTTCCTTGATCATTGTAAATTCGTCCATCGGCAAGGTCTTTCGTATCCAGTCGATAAGTGTCCTGAAGTCTTAGCAACCCAATGGCAGCTCCTGTCAGGTCCTCCTGAACAAGGGGTTTGTCAACGGTGATAATCATAAAACTGCTTAACCACATTTCAACTTCAAATGATACCCCATAAAGATAGAGCAATAGGGATTGTCTACTTTTGATCTGATTCGTACTCGAATACATCTAATAGTGTTGGTTATCTGGAATGCTCATCACATGGGACGCAAGGGCCCATGACCGGCAATTCTTTCTCTAGGCATCGGACATGAGTGAAAGTACGTGAATACAGCCTGCGCTTTTATTAGGTGTGTGCATTAATTTCCGCCGTTTTTTGCGTGCAAAAACATATTTATTACAAAATTAAAACCAAATGTACTTCAACCAATGTATTGCCCATCGTTAGCTACATTTTTTTGCCATCTTTCTGGTATCTTGTTGACTCCTGGTCTAAAAAAGTCCCCTTCTTTTGAGGCAATCCTGTTATCCGCCCATTTTCGCACTTCTTCGGCGTTTCGGAAGCGTATATCCTGCCAAAGTGATTTGCATGGATCGGAGTAGGTGGTAGTCAGAAAGAGCAAGTTCCGGAGAATATGCGGGCTGAACAAGCTGTTCCCATTCAGCAACTGCGATTTTTTCAAAGGACATTCTTCGCAACATGGGATCTGGCATGTTCGTGGTGGAACAGCACCTCATGATATATTCTTGCGATTAATGACCGCTTTTAGGTGAGAGCATCCTACAAACTGTCAAGTTGGTGTTCGTAGCGGTCAGCAGTAACAGTTTCGTCCGGGCTCACAAGCTCATAATACATAACACCCTTTTGATCCCACCACAAAATGCACACACAACAGTACTTTTTGACAATGGACATTCCGCTTTCGTTGCAAACTCTCGTGTGAATATAATAAAAACCATCTCAGCAGGTCCGTTTAGATGAAGCTTGTCCTCCATAAAAGCATCCGGTGGGCTTCAATGTCAGTTTTCTTGAAATCAAACAGCAGGAGAAGGGCCCCCGAGGAAACGGTTCATCACGTTCCAAAACCAATCAGTCTGAGAGCAACGGGATCTTGGCGAAAAACTGATCTGTCTGCTCTTAGATAAGTAGCCAATACCCTACCTTACAGAATATGACGGGTTTCACCGGTAAACCTCTAACATGAAACCTCGCGCAACGGCCCCTGGAATTTGGCGGCGGAAATTAATGCACACACCTAATAGTATAACTAGCGCATTCAGAATGAGATGTCGTTTTGGGCGAATGCTATTCTAGATGGGGTTTCCCTAACAACATGAAACTCAGGATAACTTTCAGCACAACTTTAACGGAATAACAAAGTAAGGATTTTTAGCTCGATGCCAGCAAAACCACAATCATTCGAAGATTTCTTCAGCCAGTACCAATTGACAAGCAATCTTTGCACTGAGTTGAAAATGTTTTTTTTTGTACTTCGTCCAGAAGCATATCTAGCCTGTTCCCCTTAGTTTACTAGGAGCACCGACCTCTACCATGGAAGGTCTCTGTGATTTAACTGTTCTTCCAGAAAATTGCCAGCAATCATACGCATTCATAGCTCTAAGAGAAGTGCAGGAGGTGAAAGGACGATCGTGAGGTCAGCATTCGACATTCGCATCATCCTCCACAGCTCGAAGGCGCTTCAGATGTGCACCGTCGCTGGCACTTACGGTTTCCCAAGAAGTTCTGACTGAGACTTTCTTCAGCGATTTCTCACAAGAAGCCACTACTGCTCACGTGCACTTGCGGTGTGCTATCAAGATTTCTTTTCCAAAGAGTCGTTCACTCTGATCTAGTTGGGAGTTCTGTGGGCAAAAATGAAATGGGAACAAATCGGGAACATTTACTACGAACGCTGAACCCACTTTGTTTTGGAAGCCTTGGTTTGGGTCAGATCACACCTTGGGAGTGTGCTTTGATTGAAGATAGCGTCTTCAAGAAATGCTCTAAATCGAGATGTCTTGGCCCATCTTGTCGTCTTTTTTTTTCGCAAAAACAAAAGTTGTTTGTAAGCAGCCGAAATCACCACGTAAGA